GAAATGCATGGATACTTACAACATATTAAACTACAAAGACCTTAGTTGTGCAGTACAAATCCTGTCTGCAATTAAGGCAATTAAAACGGGAAGCTTGAGGCAGAACTACTGAAAAAATATTTGCAGACCTATCAAAAGTCTTTCTGTGCCCCTATTCCCAGAGTACCTGAGCACCTCAGCACCTCAAAATCTCTAATGTGTTTGTTCTGAAAGATAAAATACTGCTCTGTCTTTTGTTTTGGACAAAGAAATCTAAGGCAGAGAGAGATTAAAATGACCTGTTCAAAGTCAAGTAGGAAATCTGTGATAGAAAAGGGAATTTAACCTAAAGCTGGCACACACATTCTTTTTCCTGAGGCCTATTTTTCCTCCCTGGAAAGCTTTGGAGGGTTGTGAATCACAGTTGTTTTAAGCCCCCTGAGGGAGATGGTCCCACACCTTGTCCCACTCCACGGCGTTTCTCCCACAGCAGCACCCCCAAGGCAGTGGGGAGAAGCAGAGAAATGTGCTGCCTCGGCTGAAATCTTACCAGCAAAACCCACTGCACTTCCCATTCAACGATTCCTTTCTTCAGCTCTTGGCATGGCTACAGGGTTACTAGTGCATGCAGAGGGGAAAGGGAAGGTGTGAGCTGAAAGACAGGAGAGGAGTGGATGGTTCCTGTCAGCAACAGCCCCAGCTTTGACAGGCATTAAGCAGTCACGAAGCTGCAGCTCAGACTGCACCTTCACAAAGCAAATTTAGTCATTAGTTATTCTGACTTGAATTAAAAATACAGTCATAGCTGGACCAACCAGTGAGGTTACAAATATTGGGAGAAATCCCTATTGTTTTGTTCCTTCCAGTACTGCAAAGGGAAATTGAGGGACCTGGGAGTAGAAAAGACCTTGAATCACCTTGATGTTGACTCATTCCCTGAATAGGGGGGCAGCAGGAGCTGAGGCCATAATTTTATCACCTGCTCCCTGCTATGTATGGCAGGACCCTTGACAATGGATTTGTTTAAAGTCACAGTATTAGTCCATGACCAGGCTATCACCTTAGACTCTCTCATAGTAGCGTACAAACTTCTTAATATCTATTTTCTTGTCTGAAAAGCAGTCAAGATGACAGATGAATGTTCTGACTAAGCATGTTTATATTTATGTATTTACTTGCTTTGTTGCCAGTTTCCTTTCCCTACCTCCCTTTTATGCTCTAACTAATAAATGTCTCTGTCACCATGCCATTGTCAATAGCAATTTAAATTACACATCAGACCATGCAAGCAGCTCACACATTATCAGTTAGCAGGAAGGGAAACCCCAAGGACAGTGGTGCAGAGCAGTCTTGCCATCTCTGCTAGTGTGGGTTGCAGAGCACCATTTCTGAAGGGGCTGTACCCCTCTGTTACTGTTAGGAAATAGCTGTCTGCCACTGGAAAACTCTGGACTGGGCAGTAGGACTTAATTTAATAGCCAGATAACCTGTACTACCTCTACTGTGAGTGGATCTCCCAGTGCCACTACTCACACTAAGGAGCAGGTCTCTTCCTGGGAGAAGAAACAGCCCTTGATAAAGAGGAAATGGTGCAAGAGGAGATGCAAACACTGTCCCTTTTATGTTGTGGGTAGGAAGTAGAGAGTCCCGACTGCTTCTCAAAAAGCCTAACCAATGAAGTTGAGAACATGTCATGACAGATAGGTATTTATCATACTGTGCAGCAAATCCTCGACGACTATATAAATAAAAAAAGACCTCGATGAAAGAAATTTGACTAGAGGCAGATGGTTAGCAATGATGATCACCAACATGAAAACTCAAGTGTAGGCTGAGAATTTGAATTATCAGGATTCAAATCTAAACCACATTGTAAAATATGTGGAGTAACTACTGGACAAGAACTTAGATATGGAATTGTTCAATTAAAATGGGGTTGAAAAACCCCAACATTTTAACTTTGCTGATTAGTGTTGGGTGATTATTTATCTCAAGCCGGTCAGAGAAAATTTGACTGGGATTTGAAGTGGAGGTTTCATAGACATACAGCGTTTAGTGTGTGCCCAAATATTTCACCTCTCTTCCTTTGGCCTGTGTATAGGCAGTGGCACTTTGGCTGCCTCTGACAGCAATGAAAATGAGATTTTCTTCAGTATATACTTTGCCTTTAAAAGGATTATCTCCCGTGTTTTTTTCCCAGAGAATCAGATGATCAGACCATCTTTTGGAAACAAAAGGACAAACTATAGGGAGGGTTATTTACTACAGCGCTTATGATAACTGCCTTTTGGCTGAGGTAATGGACGTGACACCTAAAATCAGCAAGAATATTTGGTAGAAGTACCTACCAGCCTAATTCACAAATTCTGGCAGCATGCACATAGTTATTATTTCACTACTCTTGTTTTTTCTTTAAAAATTCTCTCTCTCTTTTCTTAAAACAGTAAAGAACCAATGAACTCATAATCTCATACTTAGGCTAACAGCTTTTAACCCAAGGAACGTAATCTGCCCTTATATTTTATCAAGATAAATTCCAGACATAATTGGTTTTCCCAGACTCAACTCTTGGCCTGTATTTCTCACAAGTTGATAATCACCCAATAAAAATAAATAAAAATGTCACCCTTCCAAATTAATATCTGACATTGCTCATAGCTGATATTGTTCAGAGATCCCTTTTGCATCCGCAGGAGACAGCTGCATCTTTCTCACTGCTGTTCCCTGACCAATTCTGTGCAGCCCATGTAGTGTCATGCATAGCTTTCTCATGTTGCTGTAGACTAATGACAAAGAAATTGGATGTGTATTTTAGGACATTTCCATTTTGTAACCAGACATGTACCCTATCTTATAACAAGAGGGATTATAATACAGACTGTCAGAGCTACACAATTACAGTTTATTTCCATGCTGAAGGAGAAGGGAGATGTGAAGTTGAAGGTCAGAGGCTTTAAAGAGTGAGAAATGTCTCCTGCAGGTGCTTGGTTTATAATTGCCCAGGATAGAGCTGCTTTATTGAGGTTTGTTGTCATAGTAAAGGTCCCAAGAAAAACAGGTTTGCTTCTTTTTTTTTTTTGTCCTGGCATCTATCAGTGTCAGTGGACGCCCACAGCCATAGCCAGGAGTATGCCCTCACTTCTGGCCTCTGATCTGAACAGCTTTTGCTCATGCCCTGGGGAGATGCTGGGCAGACAAAGCAGTAGGGAGCAGGCAGCACCCCAGGTGATAAAATGTCCCGTTTCCATTCTGCTCTACGGAAAATTTTAAAAGCTTTGATGTCTGAAGGCATATGCACTCCAGCAGAGAAAACTTCACAACTCATTCTCTCCTTAGCCAAGAGTAGATCTTTTCTATTTTCTCACAAGCTGCCTGACAACACAACAGATATAAAAATTGGCACTATCAACATATCAGATCATGAACCAGCTTTCCTGAATGTTATTATTACAGCAATTCTTAAGTGAGATAAAAAATGGTAGTTTAATAACTCTCCTTAGAAGGATGCTTAGCATACCCAAAATAAGGCTCAGTGCAATTAATTTGACTAAACAATTCAGAAGAAAATACATTAATGTGAAAAGTATAATGGAGGAATTACCACATGAATGTTCTAATTGCCTAGATTCTAAAACACATAAGGGGATCAGGGATCTGACAGACACCAGAATCCATAATTTCCACTATCATATGTTTTTGCAATAGAAACTAGAATTAAGTAAGCACATTCTTTGCTATTTAATTAAAGGAATATACAATTTTAGAGATAATAGTGTTGATAGTGGACAAGAAAGCACAGCTCTGTTCACATACTCATAGCCAAGAACGTGCAACCATTTCATCCAGGGAATATACTGTAGCACTTGATCCTCTTGGTACTGAGCAGGTTGCATATGCTCTCTTACAGAGCCACTCTTCAGATTCATCCAGCAATAGACATCATAAATGTCCTTTCATTTATGCTTCATCTCACAGTTCTGCTGTGCTCCTGCAATGGGAACAGGTGGTGTTTGAACTGCCCTGGGCAGAAGGTGCCCAGTTCTGACCAGGCACAGCAGTACCAGGAGACTGACTATGCCAGAGTTATGCCGTAGTTTGGTTCAGAAAGTCCGGCTGTTTCATCGGCTCCAGCCACTTAGGGAGAATGAATAAAAGAAGTCAAAAAGAATTAATAGAAATATGGTGATATATGAAAAGCTCTTGCAGTGAGCATCTGCCTGGAGTTGGATGCCCAGGACTGCAGACAGAGATGTTTCATTTTTTGTGTGTGACCACAGCACAACTATGGAGTTGCAACCTGTAGAATGCCCAAGTTTTCACAGTTTCATACCCCTGTTCCCTTTGCTCTTTCTACAAGGTAAGAATGAACAGATACCACAGAACAGCAACTGCACAGTAACCTGTTATGCTCTGGTAGCTGATCTGGGCACACAGTTTCTCCATCCAAATTCAATTAACATGAGAACCACTGGGGAGAAGAGAAAGTAGATAGTGCTACAAGCATTTTGCTAGCTGTATACAACAACACTGTGCTGGCTTGCTTTTGGAACACTGGTGGCAGGAAATAAGCAGCAGCTATGGTAGCATCAATAGCAGGAGAGGCAAGTTCCCATTCAAACAGTTCCTGCTAAACCATGGAGATCCTAAGAGCAGACTTGATGACTGATGTTGGCCTTCAGGCTGCGTACAACTGCCTGCTGCAACCAAGAGTTTTAAATCTGGCTGCATAACAATGCATAACGATACATATTAACGCACATGGGATGGTTTTCAGAAGCTGTATCTTTTGTCCCGTGAAGATGGATACTTGGTTTTTAGGGACCACTCTGAAGAAATCAGACTTCAAAAAATAGCATGAATATGGCTATATTAGCTGTGCATACAGCTGTGATAAGATGGGCCTTGGTCCAGTAATCCTGATCTTGTTTGTTTGTTTTTTTAAAGTACAAAATATATTTACATCACTGACTTGAAAGGTCTTGGTAGTTATGATTGATTATTGGTTCTATTTATGTTTGCAGACAAAGAAGAGTGAGAAGAAAAGTGAGAAGAGCAACAAAGTAGTCAGAAGTGGGATAGCTGCAAGAACAGAAAGTGTAATGGCAAGCTATTGAAGGCTGCCACTGCAAGCACTAGCAAAGCAGGCAAAACAGATACTTGGATGTTAAGGAACACAAGGAGGTTGCAGCTAAAGGCAATAACTCTACCAGTTTTAAGGAGAGGAAGATCCCGCTGATCCAGCTAACTAAAGAAGTTTGACCTTAGTCACTGGTGGAAAAAATTATCTTGAACATATTTACCAACATATTAAGGCCAGTTTCGGAGGAAGCAGAGGGCCAGACACAATATGACTTCCAAGCAGACACAAGCTGTATTGATCAAATTATCACTCTTGACAACCAATGGGAGGGAAGCAATAAAAGTGGGTTAAAGCTTTTGGAGGAAAACAGCTGGCTTGACTGGATACAATATAGAGAGTGTGGATGTCATATAGTGTTTCGGATAATTGTAATTCTAAAAGGTGCATGTTGAGACTCCTGTAGTGCAGTAAGAAATGGTAGAAATGTCAAGCAATTGGGTAAGTCCAAGGAGCAGGGGGGAATTGAATTACACTCATTTTCCATCATGAAGCTGAATGTTGCTGAATTAGGCTTGGACAGCATAATTTTGAAAGATCTATAGCAAAGCTTTTCATTAAATATAAATTATAGTTGATCACTGGCAAATATGTCTGATTTAATGAAAGCATTATTTGCCACCTCGGAAAACTGGTTTTGTAGACTTGAACTTAAAATTAGTTCCAAGAAGATGGTACGGAGTTCCAAGAAGATGAGGTGGCTGCATCTTGGAGAAGGAAGAGTATATACTATGCTGACATGCAACATAAAGGAAGTTACAGAGAAGTCCGGTCCTACATGTGGTTATATCGACATCAGCATCAGTAAGTTCAGCATCAGTGGTTCAGTAAAGATGAATTAAAACAGTCGTGTACCTTAGTCACAAATGGTGCACAGTAGATGATGAGATTATGGATCAATAAGGATAATACATATACAATCCATATGGGGTTTTGTCAAATTTATTACTTCATGGACTGGAAATAGCTCCAGTAAATGAGATAAAATTGAAAAAAAAAGACCAGGGACGGCTCTTCAAAATATTGCAGGTGGAAATGGAAAACATTTTAAGATATCAGAGATTGAGTCACAAAATCAAGGCAAGGGACTGACTTTAATTAAAAGATTATAATGATTATGATAAAGCAGACCACACCAACACATGACATCAAAACCAAAACCAACCAACCAAAAAAAATGCATTTAAGGCCTAAAAGCTGATATCAAGTTCATGGCTAGATATTGCATTAAATTAAGCTTTGTTTAATAGTGGAATAATCCGTGCATAGGAAAGACCAACAATGGCATAGTGTTCCTCAGATCTGGAAGGACACTCTAGAAAGCCAGAGAAGAAAAGGACTATTTATGCATTTTGGATGATAATTAAAATACCTAAGTTTTCTACAGCCCTAAAATTTATGTCTGGCTACAGAAATAGTCGTAAACAATCATCACCATTAACATCTTGTAAAAAAAACCCACAAATTGAGAAGTTTTTTCAAACAAAGATGTCAACGTAGATTCACTGACCTACATATTTAGGACACATGCACATACAGCACACACATTTGCACAGTAAGAAGAGAGAACAGAAAAATCAAATGCACAAAAACTGCAGAAATATTATGTGCTTGCCAAGACTCAGACACAAGTCTTCACAAGAGTCTGTTTGTAAGCCAATTCATATTTGATTAATTGAAATGACATCTAATGGAAATTAAATATATACAATAAAATATGTGTGTATTCACCTTTACAACAAAGGTATTAATACAAAGGTACAGTATTGAGATTGTCTAGGAAAACATCTTGTCCTAGAAAATGTAAAAGCTTTGTGTTCAAAGGATTTGGAAAATAAACTCCCTTTCTGTGGAGCCCTGCCTCTTGGGATTTGGCATAAGAAAGAAAAGAGAATTTCTAAGAAAAATCTTTGCTGGCATATTTTTTACTTTGTTCTGAATGGAAACAACTTGAGCTCAAAAGGTAAATTTCATTGACTGTAGATTTTCCTAAGTGTGAGTTTAGCAGAAAAAACAAAAGAAAGCAAAGGATGTACTAAATATGACTGCATTTTACAACCCCTTTCTTCTTCAGTTTTGATAAGCACTTAACAGAAGTCTATTCAGTGAAAGCTGCCAATTCTTATTTTTACCATATGTACAGATTGAGAATGTTAGAGGAAATGTGTATGGCAAATTAGGATGAACTCTGTGGCCTGAATGTTAAATGAGAGGGCAAATTATGCAGGGTTTGTCTACCATTTCAATGTTCTCATTTGTCATTTCTTTGGGCAGGGCATCTTTATAAGACTATCCTGAAGATATTATCATAATGGAATGTTTTGCATAATGGAAAACACAGTCACCTCAGATCTTCTTATACACGACAAACCCTTGATTAGAAAAATAATAGGATGGAAATGGAATTTGTATTTATACAGGCAGGCGTCAGAGCCAAGGACAATGGAAGCTGACCTCAATACACTGGAGAACTGACATAGGCAGATGCAAAACCTCTCTCTTTACAGTAAATTTAGCTTAGAAATAGACTGGGAAACAAGTGGGAGTCATGTAAAAGTTTTCCTATGGTGAAAAGTTTCTTATAATAAGAAAGGTATCTGTGATATACAAAGGATATCACACATTTTCAAATTACTCATAGCTCTTGTTACACTGCAAGGTCCACATTACACCCCTGTGAAAACAACAATGTTTTGATATTGGACAAAATGGTGTTTAAAATTTTCTATCACACTTCTGATTCAACTTTGACAACTTACAGTCTTTGGGTCCACTGATGAACAGTTAGAAAACAGAATAAATAAACTGGATTAAATCAGCATAGCCAACCATTTACATAATTAGGAACTGGATTATTGGAACTGGAGCCATGCTCCTGTAGTCATCTGAATTAAAGCACACATCTGCATATATGTTGTTTATGGGATTGCTGCTGATGCACACGTGTCATTAGACACGTAAACCCACTGGATTTATTTAATTAGTCATTATTAATTACAAAGTTTATTTTGCAAACAGAAACAGAAAAAAAGTCTTGAAAGTGTAAAATAATTTGGAAAACTCTGTCCCTTCGAGGAAATTCTAAAATCAAAAGGTAGATTTTACTAACTCTTGGCTTTATTACTAATCTGAGAACATAATGTGCTTTTACATGACTGGATTTAACGTTGGTCCAGCTTGGAAGACAAGATTATTTCATTACTGTCTGTGATCTTCAGAGCACAAAACAGTGTTTTTCTTTGCCAAGATCATATTGTCAGGTTTGACATTGATTTTGGGTGATAAGAATTCCAACACAGCTGGTTTACAGAAGACCCAAATAAAACTGCTTAAAAAGCCTAGCCTAAAATATGGTGATGGGAAGATAATATTGTGATAGTGGGAGTTTCACATGCTAGGAGAGTGTAAATGCAAATTACAAATATGGTCATACTTATTTCTACAGTCATCCTGAACTAAAGACCATTAGCCAGTCTTGAGACTTGATATAAGCTGGGAAAAGAATCAGTATATTTTTCTGAGGCACCACATCACAGTTTGATAAGGATAAAATCTTAGCCTGTCTTTGGTTTTCTGATAGCCATTTCCTCTCTGTCTTCCTCATTGTGATTTGTTGAGATGATCTTTGATACAAAGGCTCTGAATGCCCAGAACTGCCGTGAAAAGCAGCAAGGATGGGTGTATCCAGCATCTCTCAGGATCAAGCTTATCATTTTTAGCTGTAAATATCTATATGACTAGAGTTACATGTGTCAGCTTTAAGATAGTGTCATGATTTCATTGTGGTCAAAGATCTTGAAAAAGCAAAGCATGGCTGATCCCTGTACAGTGTCTGTTCATGTTTATTATCTAGACAGTAAACTCAGAGCTGATTGCAGTTTGGCCCTTATCAGTTTTTCCTTCTAGCAATGGATAAAATAATTTCTGCTTGCTCAGGAACAGATCCATCTTAAGTAAGACACAGCTTTACAGAGAACTGACAGGTAATACTAGCCTTTATTTTTCAGCAAAAGCATCTTTTTAATGTAAAAAATGACACAAAAGTGGTCACAACATTTAATATACATATATGAATAATGGCTAATGAAATCTGGAATTAGTACTGCAGATTGCTTCACCTGGCTTCTAGTGAGCTATAAATAGACTACTTGATTGGAAGATTAAAAAGATAAGCCAATTTAATGATCATACATAATATACCTACCAGAATCCTCTGAACAGCAGTATAGTTACTTTCTTTGAGGAATACTTTGCAATGTATTAGAGAATGAATCTCCCCTCTTCTTCTGCAGCAAGAGAATGCCAGCCAGACAACCCCCTACTAGCAGTCTGAACCCAGAAGCACATGCATCCATGTTCCCAAATGCTGCTTAGTTCACGTTCTCTAAAGTGCTAGCAGTAAGTCCTGCACTCAGACTGCATACTTAAGGTCTCTATTTGTTCCCTCACTCTGCTTTCCATTAATCAATCACTGACTCAAAGCTGCACTTAATCCATTATGACAATAGTTTCATTTCAAAAAAGGAAAAAAAAAAAGCATCTGTAAAAAGTATTCTGAACTAAGAATCTGAGTTGTACTGGAATCTATTCAGCCCATGCTCAGAGGCAGCTAGAGCATACCCCTGAATAACTCCTATAAGCCAAACCAAAGCCAGACTCTGTAATGACACCACTTGCAAATGAAGCAGTCTCTACTCTCCTCACTTCCAGTAAAGCTCATCCTGAGTGACTTTTAGCCAGCCTCAATTTTGGTGTCTCCTCTATTTAACCCAGTAAGAAACACACAAATAAACAAATCCCGTAAAGAAGGGCGGGAAGTTGTGTGAGCTGTTACGTGTTTATTGTTACTAGGGAAACCACTTCCTCGGTATTCATCTGTTCAGCAGATCTGTCTGGCTGTGTCTTGGAGTCCCAGGCAATGTCATCAAATGAATGGCAACTGGGAAAATAAAGCCACACAGCACAAAATACACTACAAATGTCTGTGACACTTAAAATGAAAATCTCATTTTGGTAAATCAAGTCTAAGCAGAAGTATCTCCCATAATATGCTTTTATAACAGGATTTTGTGTAGGGGGCAAGAGTGTGCAATACTCTATTCCTCTTTTCCTGAACATTAATAATATATCTGTAAAAGCAATCAGTACTGATAGTCTAGAGTTTAAATGCTAAGCCCAAACAGCTACATATTTTGGCTGCCGATCCTAGCTCCAATTTCACAAGCAGTATCTTCATCCAAGCAAAGGATGAGTAGAGCTAGTACTTTGCTTTGAAAACCAGATTGTGGTGTTAGGACTCACCTCTAACAACAGATCATCCATGTTCCTACTTTATGGGACAGTTTTTTTGTTTGTTTGTTTTTTCAGCTGCAGCTTGTTTCTGAGTTCAGTCACAAAACAATTGGTAGAAGCATCTCAAGCGATGCCTCAATGTTCCCTGTACCCTTTCTTGCATAAGCAGGCGGCAGCTTTCCCAGATTCAGTCACAGAAAACAGGGCTGGAAGGGCCATGAAGAAGTCAGCTGTGGTAAGCAGGTTGTCATATATTTAGTTTATACACAAGTGCTCACCACCAGTTCCTTAATCGCCTCGGTGATTGGAGTTCAATACATCTCATCCTCAACAGGAATTCCACAGCTGATTAACTGATTTTGCCTCTTCTCCATCTTGCTGAAAATCTCAACCGAATGATAAAACCTGAAGAGGGTACACACCACACACCTTCCCTGAGCACTTCCAGCCCCAGGCTGTCAGTTTCAGTGCGAGCTGCATTGCAAAACCAGCTCAGTGTAACTGCTCTCCTCGATGGACTCCAGGCACAGAACTGGTTTCCTCATTACTCATTCTTCATTCCTAGACCAGAGGTCTAAGTCTGGCACTAAAGAAAGTTATTGGTCCCGAGGATCTCAATAACCCCAAGCCCAGCCAGAAAAACCATCTCAGTAGGTAGGTTTGTTCTTGCTTTAGAGTGGAATGAAGTGCAGTGGGGAGATACAGTGCAGCATAACTCAGTATTTACGGTGTTCACTTTTCTAAGCAGATATTTCAGAAAACAACATACATGCACAAGGGTAGTGCAAAGTTAGAGGCAATACCACAGGAAGGATAGTGGTGCCTAGTTTTCTGAAAAAATGGAGTGGGAGAAAAGCAGCAGAGAATGAAGAGACAATACCTTATTGTGGTGTAACCCTCTGATAACAAAGCTCAGATGATCAACAACTATTTGGGCCTTGTTGAAGTAGGCTTACAAACATGGTAATGCAAAACTCAACCTATGAATTGAGATAAAAACTAACACAGCAGATGGATAAAAAGGATGATCCTTTTGACTCTACAAAAATCACTATTATTACAGATACACGTGAGATTTTAAAGGCTTGCTTCCTGTTTTCCAGTTTTATTTATATCGGTTGGGGCTAACTGTAGAAAAATACTCTTGCTTTACAAAAACAGAGAACCAGGACTGTGGGATTTAGAAATATTCCTGCCATGAAGACCTGCAACACAGAATAGTGGGCATATCAAGATACAGAATTAGAGTTCAAATACACATGGGCAGCAGCTCATTTTTCTCTCAGCATGTTTGCGTCTTTGTATGATCTCCAGCCCGATCCCCAGTTTACGGCATGATATGGGTTTGTGTGATCTACAGGGTGACTGTATAAAAAAGACAGTTAGAGAGCACTAACAAGAGATTTTGGCAATTATAAATATCCAGCACAAACCAACACAAAGGATATGCTCATTAAGTGTATCCACTGATAGCACTAAATGAAGACGCACATGTGTGCTACAGCCTGGAAATGCAGGGAACTAGAGTTCATACACACCGATAGAAGCTGTTGGAGGAACAC